AAAAAAAAAAAAAAAAGGACAAAATACTACATCTCCATCTCCCTACCCCTTTCCTAGAGAAGTCACCTAATTTTTCCTTCGCTATGAGCAAATCTATTTCATTGCAGGGAAGCCACACCAATTCTGATGTCCAGGTCTACCTGACCTATTAAAAAATCCCACTTTCAGTTTGGGTCTAAAAACAGTGCTAAGGACTGGGTGCGGTGGCTCATGCTTGTAATCCCAGCACTTTGGGAGGCCAGGACGGGCAGATCACAAGAGGTCAGTAGTTCAAGACCAGCCTGACCAACCTGGTGAAACCCTGTCTCTACTAAAAATACAAAACTTAGCCAGGTATGGTAGCATGCGTCTGTAATCCCAGCTACTCAGGATCGCTGGAACCCAGGAGGCGAAGGTTGCAGTGAGCTGAGATCACGTCACAGCACTCCACCCTGGCCAGCAGAGAGAGACTCTATCTCAAACAAACAACAAAAAACAGTGCTAGGACCACTGACTTACTGCTGGTGGTATATTTGATAAGGAATAAGGCAAGAAGAAAGCACGTCAACTGGTCTACATCTTGATGTCTTCTATAACAGTGTGATCAAAATACCAAAAATACGCTGGACAGGTGTGGTAGCTTATACCTGTAATCCCAGAAATTTGGGAGATCAAAGCAAGAAGATTGCTTGAGACTAGGAGTTTGAGTCTACCTGGTCAACTCAGCAAAACCGCATCTCTACAAAAAAAAATATTTTTTTTAAAGAAAGACTTTCTAGCTTTGGCAGCTCCTATTCACACATTAAATTCCTTTCTCAGAATTTTGTATTGTTGGTCCATGGAAGAGCTGCAACTAGAACACAAATCTCCTGACTTCCAGCCTATATTCTTTTTTTTTTTTTTTTTTTTTTTTTGAGACAGAGTCTCTGTCACCAAGCTGGACAGCAGTGGCACAATCTCGGTTACTGCCACCTCTGCTTCTTGGGTTCAAGCAATTCTCCTGCCTCAGTCTCCTGAGTAGCTGGGATTACAGGTGCCTGTTACCATGCCCAGCTAATTTTTGTATTTTTAGTAGAAATGGGGTTTCACCATGTTGGCCAGTCTGGCCTCGAACTCCTAACCTCAGGTAATTCACCCACCTCAGCCTGTATGTTCTTCTCTTGATAGTATGAGGAAGTCATAAGCCAGGTAGGGTACAAACCTAATCTCCAGCTGCCTCAACTGATGAATCTGCTTGCATTTCTGCCCTTCTTGCTATAAATAGATTGTTGTCCCCACTCTCTTGGCATGGACTTGTAGGAGTTATGATGAAATACCCACCGGGAGCCAGCGTCCAATGTCTCCTGTGTGAAGCCAGCCATCACTGTCCAGGGCTTCCTGTGTCTTCTCGGGGTCCTTCAGGTATCCTTTGAACACGTTGGTACCCTTGATGCGGATCTGCACAGCAGACATACAAAATGGCAACAACAAAGGCTGCTCCTCCCAGCATGGGCAGTTTATGAAACACCTGCTCCCCCTTACATCATTTGATGGCTTCCACTACAGTGTGAAGAGCACCAGATCTGAGTGCTTAATTCTCTGCTAAAGATCTCAAAGGAGCCAAATCCAAGTTTGCATACAATTATGTATTCTTTCTGATTTAAACCTTCTCACCATGACTGACCACAGGGCACGACCTACCCACCTCTCCTTCATTATTCACTGAAAAGTAGTTCATATCAGCCACATCTTCCAGCTTCACATAATTGCAGGCGAGGGGTGCTCCAACGTGACCTAGAACACACCACAGTGAATCAGCTAGGAAACTCTAGAATGGTGATAATTCCAGGCATATTTCTATGATATTTATGAATTGACTCTAGAAGAGTAAGACTGAAAAATCACCAGGCACCAATGCAGACTAGCCAGGATAGGCAGGCCTGGGCCCAAATTCAAGTTTTGCATTTGCCACATTAGTTCAGAGAATTGAAGTTATCTAAACTCCGAAGTCCTAGTTTAGTTAGACCCTTTTTCCTGACCGTGGCACCTCCCGCCCAGCAGGTGGAGGACTTACCTGATGTCCAGTCCCCAGGTAATGTCATTGTACAACCAGCTGTGCATTCTGTTTGACCATATGCTTCATACACCTGGGAAACCAAAGAAGAGCTTTTAGACTTACTCAAGATAAAGCATGAGCTGGCCATGCCTTATGGCCAAGACATGAGAAAAGCAAGGTCTCCAAGGGTTCGAGAACACGTAATGTCTTGAAATCTTGAACTCGGCCGGGTGTAGGGGCTCACATCTGTAATCCCAGCACTCTGTGAGACTGAGGCAGGTGGATCACCTGAAGCCAGGAGTTTGAGACCAGCCTGGCCAACATGATGAAACCCCTGTTTCTGCAAAAATACAACAACCACAACAAAAATCAGCTGGGCATGATGACCGGTGCCTGTAATCCCACGTACTGGAGAGGCTGAGGCAGGAGAATTGCTTGAACCCAGGAGGTGGAGGTTGCAGTGAGCTGAAACTGTGCCATTGCACTCCAGCCTGGGCAACAGAGCAAGAATCTGTCTCGGGGGAAAAAAAAAAAGAAAAAAATAACCAAAACCTTGAACTCATACTCAAGCTGCAAAGTATTTACTACCAAGCCTTTTGGCCACTCAGAAACCAAAAGAGTCCAGAAATACACCAAAGTACATGTAAGTTATTCACGAAGTGATGTGCAACCCAATAGCAATTGAACTTGACCCTGAGTAATGGAGCATCACTGAAGGAACTGAAGACGGGGAGTAGTATTTTTTTAAGGGAAATAGCTCCCACTATGATATAAAACAAGAGTTGGCAAACTTTATCTGTACAGGCCAAGATAGTAAATATTTTCCGCTTTGTGAGCCATCTGGTTGATTCTGCCAACATAGCATTAAAGCAGCTGTAGACCTCAAATAAATGGATGGACATAGCTGTATTTCAAGAATTCTAAAAAAATTAAAACCGGCTGCAGACTAGTTTTAGCCTGTACTGCAATTTGTCAATCCCTGGTATAGAAGATAATCGTGATTGGAGAGAGGTTCGGTTCAGGAACCAAGTTGAAGGGCTGGGCTGTACAATGGGGGGTGTGGCCTGTGATAGGAGGAGTTGGGAGAGAGAGGAAGGTTTAGAGAGGACATCTCTGGGAGGGGGTTAGCAGCAGGACCTGCTGATCTATTGGTTTTAGGACCTGAAGGAAAGGACAGTCTTAAAAATGGCTAAGAGGATGCTAATTTGAAAAACTACAGGACCTTGGCATCAATTTGGAGTCTTTTTTGATTGTGGTTACGCAGATAGGGGACTTGTAAGGAAACGTCTATGCCTGTTTTGTTCATGCTCTGCAAGGTTGGTTGAATGAATGAACTAATTATCCATCTGGGTGAAAACTGAGACAATATCCATGGCCAAGCACCTAGACAAATTTCAGGTGGAACTGAGACTTAAATGGAAAAAATAGAAAATGATAAGAAAATAAGGGTGAACCAGTCTTATGAAATATCAGGGGTTAGGAAGTCCTGTCTAAGCAATTTAAAACCTACAAATAGAAAAGATTACATAGTTTGACTACAAAAACATTGGAAATTTTTATATGGCAATACACAGGGAAAAAATGATGAGATGAGGAAAAACGTTTCCAATGTGACAAAAGTTAATATTACAGGTTGAATATTCTAATCCAAATGTTTGAAACCCAAAATGTCACAAAATCCAAAACCTTTTGAATGCCAACATGATGTTCAAAGGAAATCCTCTTTGGAGCATTTCAGATTTTGGATTTTCAAATTCAGGATGCCCAATTGTTATAATGCAAATATTCTGAAACTGGAAAAAAAATGCAAAATTCAAAACACTTCTAGTCCCAAGCCTTTCAATAGGGAGCTACTCCACCTGTATTACTCTATGAAGAACTCTTAGAAATATAAAAACAGACCAAATTATCTTTTGCCTCCTTTTTCTATAAGGAAATAATAGAGTAATTCACAGATGAAATATACATGTCAATAAGCAATAGAAAGGTATTTGGTGTAAATAAAAGAAACAATACTGTCATAAGATTTTTCATTTATCTGATTGTCTAAAATATAGATAGATAGATAGATAGATAGATAGACAGATAGATAGACAGACAGACATGGAGTCGCACTCTGCTGCCCACGCTAGAGTGTACAGGTGCAATCTCAACTCACTGCAACCTCCACCTCCCGGGTTCAAGAGATTCTCCTGCCTCAGTCTCCTGAGTAGCTGGAATTACAGGTGCCCTCAACCGTGCCAGCCTAATTTTTTCGTATTTTTAGTAGAGACGGGGTTTCACTACGTTGGCTAGGCTAGTCTCGAACTCCTGACCCCAAGTGATCCACCCACTTCACCTCCCAAAGTGTTGGGATTACAGGCATGAGCCACCATGCCTGGCCTAAAATTTAAATGACTAAATGATTGGCTAAAATTTAAATGACTGATAAAGCCTGTCACTGGCAAGAGCTTGGGCAAATAAGGCCTTGTATACTTGCAGAAATGTATAAAAAAGATCTTTCTGGAAGAAAGTTTGATAATATACATTATTACACACACACAGACACACAAACACACACACACACACACACACACACTTTGACCCACATACAGATACACATACACACACAGACACAGACACACACTTTGACCCAATAATCCCTTCTTGCATGGACTTATCCTAGATTAATGATTAATTGATTATCACAGTGAAAAATATTAACAGCAACTCAAGTGTCCATTAACAGGAGATTAGTTATTTGGGTACTGTTGACCCTTGCACCACACGGGTTTGTACTGTACAGCTCCACTGATGTGGATTTTCTTCTGTCTGTGTGGCCCCTAAGAGAGCAAAACCAACCCCTCCTCCTCTTCTTCCTCCTCAGCTTGCTCAACATGAAGACAGTGAGGATGAAGACCTTTGTGATGACCCATATCTACTTAATGAATAGTAAATATATTTTCTCTTCCTTATGATTTTTTAAATAACATTTTCTTTTCTCTAGCTTACTTTATTGTAAGAATACAGTATATAATACATATACAAAATATGTGTTGATCAATTATATTATTGGTAAGGCTTCTAGTCAATAGTAATCTACTAATAGTTAAGTTTTGGGGGAGTCAAATATTATACATAAATTTTTGACTGCATGGGAGTAGGCAATCCTAACTCTTGCATTGCTCAAGAGTCAATACGTTTAATAAACTATTGCAAAGTCATTAAGACAAGGAGCAACGTTAACAAGTATTTTTGAACACCGATTTCATTTATATGAAGGTTTCTGCACACAGATGCCTGAAGAGATGATTAGAAGGATATTTTCTCTGGCTTTTGAGGATTTAGGTGACTTTCATTTTGGTACCTTTTAGTTGTTTTCATTTTTATTTAGACAGTGAGCTTATTTGCACAGAAGTAAAATAGCCTATTTTCAAAGAAGAGGCTTGGCTTACGTGACATCCCATTGCTGCCCGGAAGAACGTCATGACGGGAGCAGAGATGGGGGCAGCTGCGGTGATCATGAAGCGAACCCTCCCGCCCAGGCTGGCCTGTTCAGTTGAAACAGAAGACGTATTAAAACCTATTCTCCATTGTGGAGTGGGTATAATAGCCTGTCCAGCATTGCTATGAGAATTAAACTGACATCAATTCTCATATTAATTTACAAAGCATTTAGAATGCAGTCTGGATTGTAGAAGAGCACTTAAAATGTTAGCTATTACTGTCATCACTATTCATAGCTGGGACCAGAAGCTAAATATTTCTCAAATACTTTGCATTATTCAGTCCCTCAATTTGCTTATAATCTCAACAGACCACCTAAGAAAGTAAGAGAGAATGCTAGAACCAAAATAAAATCTTTTTTTTTTTTTTTTTTTGAGATACAGTCTGGCCCTATTGCCTAGTCTGGAGTGCAGTGGTGCCATCTCGGCTCCCTGCAACCTCTGCCTCCTAGGTTCAAGCAATTCTCCTGCCTCAGCCTCCTATGTAGCTGGGATTAGAGGCATCCACCACCATGCCTGGCTTTTTTGTGTTTTAGTAGAGGCAGGTTTTCACCGTGTTGGCCATGCTGGTCATTTTCTTTTTTCTAGTTTGTTTTATTGTAAGAATATGATATATAATACATATACAAAATATGTATTGATCAATTATATTATTGGTGAGGCTTCTAGTCAATAACAGTCTACTAGTAGCTAAGTTTTTAGGCAGTCAAATATACATAAACTCCTGACCTCAGGTGATCTGCCCACCTCGGCCTCCCAAAGTGCTGGGATTACAGGTGTGAACCACCACACTCAGCCTGACTTTTTTTTTTTTTTTTTTTTAAATCAACTCCCTTTAGTAATAAAGTAGTACAAGAAAGATTTCAAAAGGCAGTGGACGCAAAGTCTGAAAGGCTCTCCAGTTAAAGTGACGCCCAAGCAGCAGTGGAAAAGCAAGGTCTGTGAGTCAGAAGGTAGCCCAGAGATTTGTCTGACTCCATCCAGGACCTGCCCAACCTACCTGGATCTTTTTAAAGATGAACTTGTCCCACAAACTGTCATGCCTGATGATACCCTTTTGAACTTCCTTGAATTTACTGGCAACAGCCAAATTCAGCAAGAACTTCTTCAACGGTGTCTTGGCTTCATTTTGTACCTGTAGGGTGATAGCTCCTTTTAGTTGGAAACCTATTGGAGATACTCACCAAGGCCATTAGTGAGTAAGAAACAGTATGTTCAAGCTTCATGAGGAAGTGGTCTCACACTCATGAACTCGATTGCTGAATATTGATGAGCCCAGAGAATCACGGCCATGCTCGGAAAGAAGTGAACTTAATGCAGAGCTCCAGTCCTCCCGCTTCCTGCCCCAATTTTTAGTCCTTGAAAAACAACTTGACAACTGAGGTAAAGAGGGACTGCCCACACAGTCACTTGGTGTGGGGGCGGGAGGGGGAAGGGGGTACTAGTTTAAAAAAAGAAAAACAGCTCAATGCGCACCACCTCTAGGGCTTTTGATTTAGCAGGTCAAAGTACAGCCTAGGAATCAGATTTGTTAAATCAAGTATCACGTCTTCCTCCACTCCCTCTGTGATGCTTCTATAACTGAACTCGGATAATTCCCACCCTTCCCAATATACAAGGTGCCTTGAGCCACACCATACAAAACCCAACAGACTTGCCTACTTTCCTACTAAAATGATTTCTTCTCTTTGGGCTTAATTCTGACACCATTTTTCCAGCTCACATGATTTCCTTGGTCTCCCTGACTCTGGCCTCACTGTTCCATTAATCAGACTTCTGCCAAAGGACAGCTTCCCCATATACAGCTGAAAGAGACCCCCTTATTTCCAAAATTCAGTCCTGAACACCATTATCTGGCTTTCAAGATCCCACACTACTGGAGTCAGATTCAAGGCAATTTAATACTTTTTTCTTGTTCAAAATTTGAAGAATATCTCTCCATCCATCTTCCATGTTTACACTACTATTTTTGGGCCTCCAGCCAAGCAGGGGTGATATTTTTTGTCTTCTAATGCAAATTGTGCTCTAGGACATAAGTTTCTTCTTATGCCTATAACATTATCATTGTGCCAATATGTCATTATCTCTCTCCACGATCCATGCTCAAATGCTTCCTGCATCATGTCATTCCTGAAACCTCCCTCAACTAAAAGAGATTTATCTTTCTTCAACATTCACAAGACTCACCTTCTCTCAACAAGTCACTGACAAAGAGCTAGTATTAGAGACCTGTGCTAATAAAGTCCTTCATTTAAAAAAGACATTCCAGAAGTGAACTGTGTATTAAGTATTCTACCATACAATAACAATCTCTGAAAAATAAAACAAAGACCAACAACATGAACAAAAACCATAACAACTCAATCTAATAATTGCGTAGTGTGAAAGGAAACTGTCAGAGTTGTTATCAATTCTGCTAGAACACTGCCTGCTCTGTCACTGGAGCCCTTTCAGCATCTGCTGAGGTGCTAAGAGTGAAAGGGAGTGTTAGAATCTTGGAGGTGGTTGGGGAGGAGGGGAGGGTTCCAAAGCATGTGAAGAATGGTCATGCATTATTTTCTCAGGGATCCCACCCTGAGAATCATCAGACACTATATTGCCTAGGTTCAAATAGTTTCAATGGCTCCTTGAAGCAATCAGACAATCTAAGAATTGAGTGAGAAATATACAAAACAAGGTTGAGACATCTTGTGCCAGGAACCAAGGAAGCTATCAGACGCTACAGGGGTATTATCAAAAGGACACACTAGCAACTTGATGAGGGTTCCCAACTGCCAAGATGAGGCAATTAGAACATCAAGAATGACTGACACTTTGGGAGGCCGAGGCAGGTGGATCACTTGAGGTCAGGAGTTCGAAACCAGCCTGGCCAACATGGTGAACACCTTTCTTTACTAAAAAAATATAAAAAAATTAGCCAGGTGTCATGGTGCACAACTATAGTCCCGGTTCTCAGGAGGCTGAGGCAAGAGGTCACCTGAATCCAGGAGGTGGAGGTTTCAGTGAGCCAAGATCGTGCCATTGCACTCCAGCCTGGGTGACAAAGTGGGACTCCGTCTCAAAAAAAAAAAAAAAAAAAAAGAATGACTGAAATTTAAAAGACAAAGCTGAAAATTATGAAGTCCTAAAAATACAAAGGGAAAATCTCATTGGCTACTTTTGATGATTGCTGAGGCACAAATCCATTCTTCTGAGGACTGATAAATAAAGAGAAATAAGGAAATATTCATCAGGTTTTATGAAAGAATCTCGGGTAATGAATGCAAGAGGAATGGCAGAATTACAGAAATCACCATTCTGGTGAAAAACAGAGCAGTGTTGGTCATCAAGGACAGCTAAAACAACTGTGAAAGCTTGACTCTGCTCTACCCTTATTAGATGTGACTCTGGGCAGGTTATTTAACCTCTGAGGCTCATTTTCCTCATCATAAGTTAGAAATAATAGGTGTAAGTATGATTTATTATGCTTTTATGCAGATTCAATGAGAGAATGCACCTGAATTATGTATCATGGGGCCTGGCACCTTAGCAGAGGAACAACTGCCCAAGACGTCTGCTTAACCCTGAGGGGCTCACCAAGTCTCTGAGTCAAGCTCTTTCTCCAGATCAGGTCCAAGTCATCTTATCCAAAGAAAAGGGGATTGTAATTTTTACTTTTAATTTTTAATTTTAATTTTTATTTGTTTATATTTTGAGATGGAGTCTTGCTCTGTTGCCCAGGCTGGAGTGCAGTGGTATGATCTTGGCTCACTGCAACCTCCACCTTCCGGGTTCAAGCAATTCTCATGCCTCAGCCTCCTTAGTTGGGATCACAGGAGCCCACCATCACGCCCAGGTAATTTTTGTATTTTTAGAAGAGACAGGGTTTCACGATGTTGGCCAGGCTGGTCTTGAACTCCTGACCTCAGGCAATCCACTGGCCTTTACCTCCCAAAGTGCTGGGATTACAGGTGTGAGCCACCACACCCACAGGGATTGTATTTAAAATGGCTTTTCACAGCTGGGCCTGTAAACATGGTTTTACTTAGATACTTGTAGAGGGTGGAGGTAGAGGTGCAATACACCTCATAGTAGTATAGAGTTCCTTCACGCAGGCCCACGTCACAGACAGTCCCTCCAGCTGAAAGTTAGTACCTTATCGTAGATCCTGTTAAGGAGTCGAGGCACTGTGGGAAACACTGTGGGCTTCAAAATCTTCATGTCTTCAGGCAGCAACCGAATATCCCCTTGGAAGAATCCAACTCTGGCTCCACAGGAGTAAAAAACAGTCTGAAAACAAATCCAAATTGTAGAGCTCAGAGGCAAATGACCCCTTCAGTGGGGACCTGTCTTGGAAGGAATTCAGGAAGTGGGCTGAGGCTCACAGATACTTTTCTTATACAGCAACCCCCTCCCGATTCAGGACTCTGAGCCTTTCCCCATTTATTTATTTATGTTGCAGTGACATGACAGATAAGACAGATATTGAGACCGTGTGGTCTCCTGGGCTCCACCACAGGTCTGTGTGACAGTCCAAGATAATCATCCTTTGTAAGACACCATTCATTATGTGGCACTAAGAAAGCACTACCAATTAAAGCAGACCCTGCCTTCAATTGTAAGACCAGCCCAATTTCATAAATTATGTTACAATATTTTTTAAGGTTTCTTAGGATCCATTTTTTATGAATCAGATATCATCACTTTAGCCCAAAGAACTGAATCTTACATTTTGACATTGTAGGCATCAACCATGAGCTGGTTGCAGAGGCATCTGAGGGTAGCGGGGAGCAGACAGAGGACTTTCCAATCATACTACCTGTGTTTTTGAAAGGCTGACACTGCTCTCTGTTCTCAAATCAGCCTCAAAATAGCTTGAAAAGCCTGGAGTCCGCTCACAGAAGGGCAGACCTCCTCCGGTGCGCACCATGCTGACCACACCACCTTAGACACTCAGGTGTGGTGTAAAAACCCCCACGGGGGACATCTCACACGTTATGTGGATCAAACGCTCGTTCCCTGATCCTCTGTGGGGAGCTTCCTTTTCTCTAATCCTAGATCTTTTCAAAAATTTTAACCAAAATAAAATTTAAAAAGAAGACAATGTCTCGTGTCAGCTCACAATTAAGGGCAGATAGTAAACCCCTAACTGTGATGTCACTGGACTCACACACCCCCATGAAGGAAGGAGTAAGTACAGTCCTCCCCGGACACATGCAGATTCAGCAGAGGAAAGCTCTGCAGGAAGTGAGGAGTCATGCCACGACTGAGGCTCCCATGAGCCAACTCCTTGCCTGTGCCTCTCACATCAGAGAAAGGACAATAGGTGCTGTGTAGCTGCCTTTGGAATTAACATGTGATAGCAAGTCAGGACCCCATTGCAACATACCTGCTAGGAACATAGATCACTTACCTGTACAATTCTCTCAAACATATGAGCCAGGGGGAGGTAGGATATGGTCACATCGTCGGTAGTGACCTCTAAAGCATGCTATGTAGATCAGGGAAGCAAGAGGAGGCAACATTGCATTAACGCCAAGTTTCATTTCCAATGGAGATTTCAAAACTACCTCCTCCCAGAACTACCACAGACAGTTGTACAGGTGGTACACTGTGTATATCTGAGATGCCTTGAACTGCATATAGTGTAGAAATTTGCAGTGATCCTAAAAGACCAAGGCTTGAAAATGTACAGTCCTCTAGACAAAGAACACATTGGTGTTTGTCCACACTCAGGCCTTTAACCCGTGTGTGTGTGTGTGTGTGTGTGTGTGTGTGTGTGTCTGCCTGTTCTAACTTCAAAAATAAAAATCTTATGACAGATTCACATTTTAATGAGAGCCTCTTTTTCAACTGACCACTGACCTCCACACATTTGAGAAAGGCAGCAGCATTTGAAACGATATTTTGATGGGTTATCATAGCTCCTTTGGGGTCACCTGCAGGAAATAAGAGGTGGTGAGAAAGATACTCCATGTAGTTAATAGGTAGCCTTTGGCCTTGAAAGAAACTTGATTCAACTGGTTCTATTCCAGAAGGCCAAGAGTATTTCCTGTCACTGCATCTTTTCGATGGTATATGCCTCTGTTTAGGAATAATTAATGCCCCCTGAGATCCTACTGCATTGTTGGTCTTCTGCTACTATACAGGCTACAGCCGTGATTTCAGACAGACGCACAGTTGCAAAGAAAAATTCAAGTTAACCCTCCCTCTCCCTCTGCCCCACACCTTGTGCTGCTTTTATGTTTGGAATTCCAGATCTACCAATATTATCTGGTAATATGGTTATAAACCTTATAAACTGGGCATACTACGATGAATACAACTGTAGACCATGATGGACCACACTAAAAAGTATTAAGTATTCTAACAGATGGGTGGGTGTAGGGTGGGGTTGAAACCCTCTATGGGGAACCATCACTGAGTTATCTCAATTGAGTGAAACTATTCCAGTGGTGTCAAATCAAGAGAGTGGTGGGTTGGATCGGGGGGAAAGTTGACTTTCTGATGTCATCTTTAAGACCTCTGAAATCTATTGAATGTAAACACTTTTCAGTGTAGTAAATGAAGTTTATTTACTCATGTTTATGTTTTTTCCATTTGGGAATTCACACTTTGAAGCCTTAGACTGTGACTCCCTAAGGATAGGGTTCTTTGGAGGAAATATTTACCAGCCTACCCGTGGTTGAGAATTCGAGCCATATTCTTGTCTGACAAGGGATCTAAGGTTCAGCTTCATGGGCACTGACCTGTGGTCCCACTGGTGAAGCAGATGATGCTCAGGTCTTCTGGGCTAGGAGGCTGGAAGAGGAAGCACAAGGGCTTATTCTACCATGAACTTTGAGAGTTGACCGACAAGGCTCAAATGCAGGCAGAAGAAAACTTACCACAGGTTTCCTGAAGTTCTCTTTGCCTAGGTTCTATATGAACAGAAAATCAAGAAAGAAAGACATTCGTTGAGATGGGCATACTATGATAAATGCGGCCCTCTCCCTCCCTTTCCCGTGAGAACATCTCTATGGAAATATGAGCAAAATTCCAACCTGGATCAGGACCAGAAGCCAACATTCAGGAACAATGGAAGCCCCAGGGAAGAGCATACAATTTTTCTAGAAAATCATCTACCTACAGAGGGCAGATGTGTGTTCAAACTTCCCATCGTACTCAAAAGTTACAGTCATCTAGGATAGGACCATAACAAATTTTTTTTTGAATGAAATGAATAGCTAACATTTCAGAGCTTATTGCATACCCATCACCGTCCTGATAATTTTACATAAATGAATTAATCTCTTTACAAGACCTTTGTGAGGTAGGGATTATTTTATCACATCTTTATGGACTGGAGAAAGGGAGAAGAAGAGATTTCCCTAGGTTGCCTAACTAACAGATGTGGAGCTGGCATGTGAACCCAGGCGGTCTGGCTCTAGGCGCCACATCCTTTAACTATTACTAAACTCCTATTAACACATTCTCCACTTAGAAGTCTGTGCAGCTGGCCACAGAACTTTGTCCTCTTCTGGCATGAGTTTCAAAGTTTTCTTGTGGAAATTATTCTCAGAGCTTCACAACATGAGTCCAATTTACTCCTCAGGTGCCACCCCTGGAGAATAAGAGCGCTATCATCTTGTGAAGATATCTTGCAAGTTGTCCTTGGTGTTGGACCAGCATTGGAGCTGGAAGCTAAATTTCAGACCCATACCTCAGCATCAAACAGGGATAAGATCTCAGTTCCACTCTTCTCCCCTCTTTGCTTCAGGTCATCATCAAAGGGGTCCATAAGGATGACCACCTTCAGGCCTGGGGTTAAGCCTTTCTCTACATTCTCTATCAGGACGGATGCCTTTTGGGGTGTGTCACAGATCACCGTGGAGATATCAGCTGAAAGCCAAAACAGAACCAGAGGTCATTCTCCTGCTCTGCTAAGTACCTGGTTGCCTTGCAAGGAGGAAGAGGTTTTAAAAATTTTCAAAGCTAACGGCAAAGGAGATTACACCTGCAAATCAGATTTATAATGTACAACCTGAAACATTCCACTGATGATAAATAAACTGAAACAGAAGCATGTAATTTTCTTGCATGCTGCCAGCATATTTTACAGTTTCTAGAGGAGCCACAAAATTCCTTCTGTTTAAGAAATCGTTCAGACAACCTAAACAGGTTATTGAGGTGTGGTTCTATCAACTTGTTTTATTTTGAGGAAGACAGTAGGGAATAGAAGAAAAAGGTGGGAGCAAATAAGATGTTTAGCTAACAAGTATTTTATAATTCTGAATTTCAGTATTTGCTTTTATACATATTTACATAAAGTTTCAAATGATGTTTACTGTGTAAAAGGACCTACTCACTTAATCTACTAGTCCCATGACAGAAAGTAACATGTTAGGTATGTGAAAGGGCTGTTACTTGCCCATCAAATTTGGACTTGTTTCTCTAACAATGACAATTGTTTTCTGCAGACTCGTCATGGACATTGGTGCATGCTGATTAACTCTACTGACTGGATTTACAAAGGTAGGAAATTAAATCTGTAGCTTTACTGTGATTTAATCAATTAAGCTCACACTATGGGCTTTTATCCAGCGTGTTCAAACTAGAAAGACATGAACATTTTCTGACCACAGCATTTCAAATTTGCTTAAACAAAAAGAAAAAAAAAAAAAAACAGAAATTGAAGAAATACTCAGCATTGAGAAAGAATCAAGTTTTAATGTAATAGCAAAGTTTTACCCTTGTTGACAATATGTATGATGGCTTCTGCTCCCAAGGTGTCATACAGAGGTACGGCTACCATGGAGTATGTGTAACAAGCCAATTCGGAGATGATCCACTGTATAGATAGAAGTTTAAGTAAGGACCGGAGGGCACATTGAAGAGTATTAGTTCAGTCATTCAGCCAACAAATACTCTCTGGCTTTTTGTCTTGTTTTGTATTTTTTTTGAGACAGTGCCTCACTCTGCCCCCCCAGGCTGGAGTGCAGTGGTGTGATCATAGCTTACGGCAGCTTTAACCTTCCAGGATCAAATGATCCTCCCACTTCAGCGTCCCAAGTAGCTGGAACTATAGGTACATGTCACTACGCCCAGCTAATTTTTGTATTTTTTGTAGAGACGGATATTTCACCATGTTTCCCAGTCTGGTATAAAACTCCTAGGCTCAACTGATCTGCCTGCCTGGGCCTCCCCAAGTGCTGGGATTACTTATTTGTTGACTTTTATGTAAAAAAAAAAAAAAAATCATTGTGGAGCCATAGAAACAGTTGCCAATACTTCTATAAAGTACATTTAAATAAGGGAGATTTGCTACACTGCCATGTGTGTTCCTATGCAACAATTCTGCATGTTCTTCACATATACCCCAAAACCTAAAATGCAATAAAATAAATAAATGGGAAAAATAAAAAAATAAAAAAATAAAAAAAAAATTAAAAAAAAAAAGAAAAAAAAAGAAAAAAAAATAAATAAATAAGGGAGATAAGTTAGTCACAGAGACAACTGCAATACAGAGGTAGACCAGAATACAAAGGCAGAGTGTGATAAGTTCCATCCCTAAGGGGTATGGAGGACACTAAGGGCCTTGGGGTGGCAGAGATCACTCTCAAGGGTGAGGCAAAGGCTATTTGGGACTGCTTGTGGGAAAGTAATGAGAACTGGGCAGAGCTTTAGAGGACTAGCAGGATTTGGTTATGGGGGTAGAGGTAGATTTAAAGAAGGAAGTGAATGAACAAAGAATAGTGATATGGTTTGGCTGTGTCTCCATCCAAATCTCATCTTGAATTGCAGTTCCCATAATCCCCACATGTTGTGGGAGGTACCTGGTGGGAGGTAATTGAATCATGGGGGTGGTTACCTTCATACTGTTCGATATGGTTTGGGTATGTACCCATTCAAATCTCAACTTGAAGTGTATCTCCCAGAATTCCCACGTGTTGTGGGAGGGACCCAGGGGAGGTAATTGAATCATGGGAACTGTCTTTCCCATGCGATTCTCGTGATAGTGAATAAGTCTCACGAGGTTTGATGGGTTTATTGGGATTTCCACTTTTTCTTCTTCCTCATTTCTCTTGTTACTGTGCCATAAGAAGTGCCTTTTGCCTCCTGTCATGATTCTGAAGCCTCCCCAGCCACGTGGAACTGTAAGTCCAATTAAACCTCTTTTTCTTCCCAGTCTTGGGTATGACTTTATCAACAGCATAAAAACAGACTAATACACTGTTCTCATGACAGTGAGTGAGTTCTCTTGAGATCTGATTTTATAAGGGGCTTTCCACCCACTTTGCTCTTGTTCTTTTCTTTACTGCCGCCATATGAAAAATGACATGTTTACTTTCCCTTCTGCCATGATTGTAAGTTTCTTGAGGCCTCCCCAGCCTGGTGGAACTGTGAGTCAATTAAATCCCTTTTCTTTGTAAATCACCCAGTCTCAGGTATTTCTTCACAGCAGTGTGATAATGAACTAATACAGATAGCATGACATTGTTGTGTATAAACACATCAGCAAGCTTGAAGACTACAGGAAATAAAACTGGAAAGGGAAGTAGGAATCTGTTAGTGATGAACCTTAAATGTCAGTTGGGTGTTATGGACTCAATCCTGTCTCCGTCTGCCCTCCTCTGGCCCCACCCAAATTCATGTTGAAACCCTCACCCCCAATGTGACAATATGTGAGATAGGGCTTTGGAGAAGTAATTACGGTTAAACAAAGTCATAAGGGCGGGATCCTAATCCCTTCCTTCAATGAAGAAGAAGGGCCACGAGGGATACACGTGCACAGAGAAAAGGCCACGTGAAGCCAAAACAAAAAGGTGGCTGTCTACAAGTCAAGGAGAGAGACCTCAGGAGAAGCTAAACCTGCTGACACCCTGATGTTGGACTCCCAGACTCCGGAACTGTGAGAAAATAAATTTCTGTTGTTTAAGCCACATGGTCTGTGTATTAGATTATGGCAGTAATAGCAGACTAACATACAGTTGATCCTTGAACACATGGGTTTGAACTATGAGGGTCTGCTTGTGGATTATTTTCAATAAAAGTTCCATCTAGGGTTCCTGCCTCCTTTTCCACCTCCTCTACCTCTTTCACCTCTGCCAGGTCTGAGACAGCAAGACCAACCTCTCCTTGTCCTCCTCCTCAACCTACTCAAGGTAAAATGACTTGGATGAAGGCCTTTATAATGATCCATTTCCACTTAATGAATAGTACATACATTTTCTCTTATTGTTTTCTTGATGGCATTTTCATTTCTCTAGCCTACTGTATTGTAAGAATGCAGTATATAATACATATAACATAAAAAGTACTTTAGTTAACTGTCAATATTGTCAGCAAGGAAGGCTATCAGTAGTTGAGTTTGAGGGAGTTAAGCTTTATGTGGATCTTTTTACTGAATAGGCATTCGTGGTCCTAACCCCCATGTTGTTCAAGGGTTAACTGTATCAGATTTGGTGTTAAGTTCCTAAATTAGAGTCAAGGAAAACTTTTTTTTCTATTGTGGCTGAGTGTGACAAGAATGGAGTATGTAGATTCACCTAAAAATATAGGTGAATATTTTTGTATTTGTATTAGCATTAGAACTGAGACTTGCAATTTGTGAACTTGCGGTAAGATCCACATGTAACTTAACTCCCGCAAAATTAAACTACTAACGCCTTCTGTTGACTGGAAGCTTTGCTGATAACACAGACAGTTGATTGACACATATTTTGTCTGTTATATGTATCACATACTGCATTTCTAGTGAGCATATGAAGCATAAAAAGACTTCCTCTGGAGATAATGGGCCTGATGACTTAACTGAAACTTGGACATAAGCTTGATTCTATCATCTTGCTGTTTAAAATCTGCTTCCAACTCACTGTGGAAACATGGCTATAGCCAGACTCCATAGCGATGAGTGGCTGAATTTACTAGTTCAGGTACAAATTGCAAGTTTCAGTTCTAATACTAATACATCCTTTCCACGATATGTTCAACATCTCATTTGGTGGTTCCCTCCTAGCTTCGTTATTTTCCTTGTGTATCAATCAGACTGACTTCAAATGACGCACGATAGACTGAGAAACAAGAGAAGTCCAAACACCTAGGTGAGAGTGCTAGACACTTCATCAGAAATAAGGTAGGTTCTGAGTTGGAACTCTTACAAGTAGAATAAGCATTAGAAAATTTTAAAAATAGCTTTGGCGAGGCATTAACAAGTGTCAGAATGCTGGACTGGGAATAGCAGTTGAAGTTTTTAAGCTTAACCCTGACTCATTTCCTTTAGTTAGCTTCATCATAGTTACCTCTGGCCTATTCTGAGCAAAGATGCCAACAAATTGGTCCGGTGATGGTTTATATCCTTTATGCAAGAGATAGGAACCCAGGTACTCCGCTCTATCAGACACCTACGAAAAAGAGAGATGGGGTGAGAGAGAGAGAGAGACAGAGAGGAGAGAAGACCCAAAACTGACCAATATAATATCCTGTAGTTTAGAATACTACATTAGAAAGAATCTGTCTAAAACTGGACTCAACTTACCTGTTTGTAGGATAGCCATCTGTAGGGCTGGTTTGGTTTTCTGTATCCCAAGCAGGGCCCATTGTCTAAAAACATAATATTAAAAGAAAATCAACTCCAGTTGCAAATTCTCTGGACCAGAGAAGCTAAAAGGAGATTAAGAAGGGGCAAGACACAAAGGATAAATCGAATAAGGATCTGGGTTTCTCTTATATGTCCAGGAAATTCAAAGCCAGAAAGCACTCAGTTCTCAAAGATGAAGAGTCTTATAAACTATACTTGAAACATTTAGGAAGCTATACAAAACGAGACTGGTTCAGTGTTGAATATGTGACCTCCATGGTGATTTAGACATTCAGAGAAAGCTATCCATATGGGGCTAGCCCACAAAATGTGACCAAGTAAACACAAACAGCCTGTACTGAAAAATCTTGGATTGAACAATAAAAAGCATGCTCATAAAAATATAAAAAATCAAAATATGAATCATCAATCTCATCACCCAAATACCATGACTACATTGATATATTATTCTATGACTCTTTTGCATAGTTTTGCAGTTATAGTCATTCCCCATGTTTGGAATGAATATAATACTTTGATACCTTGCTGCTTCTCCCAATGTGATGTATTTTCATGTCATTATTTCTTCTCTGTAGTGGTTTCAATGGCCAGTTGATGGGGGTTCTATTATAGTTGACTTTATTTCATCATGGGTATTTAGATTGTTTTCAAGTCTGACACCTTAAATTATGCTAAGTATTTTCCAATTGGTCATTTTAAATTTAGAACATTTCCTTGGAATAGAGACCCTAAAATGTAATAAGGGAAGGAAATGGGGTCCCAGAACAGTTATGCTTTTGATACATAGCACCACACTGCTTACTTGAGCAGATGTGACAATTCACTTTTCTCCTGCTATATCAAGTTTTATCACACTCTCATAGACCACTAAATAGAGTCTTTAAAAATTACCTTCAGGTTTGATAGATTTGAAAAGTTATTACTGTAGTCTAAGTTTCTTTAACAGCTAGTAAAATGGGACTTTTTTCCTTGTTAGGTTTTATTTACTCTCATGACTAATTTGTTCATGTACTTTGCCCATTTGTATAAGAGTATCATCTAAGATATTAAGGCTTGTAAAAAACACGGAAACACACACACAGGTGCACACACACACATTTGACAACAGAAGAATTAAACTTCTGAACATCTAAACTACTGAGCCTTACTTAAAATAAGTTTGGGAACGTGAATTCACAAGAGTAAATGGTCATCTCAGCTTTTAAAGCCAAGCCAAGGAAGTAGTGGCATTAGGCTGAAGAACACATTAAGGGGCTGAGAAGCCCTCACGTCTAAGCCGGAAGGAGGCTGTTTTAAGTAGACAAGTAGAAGGGAAGGAAAATTGATAGAGAGGATCTAGCCAAATTGCTAAGAGGAATTCAGGTCTTGCCAAAGGGAAGTATTCAGAGAGTTACTAGGAATTCAGAGGCAGGTAAGTGAACTTCTAGACTACATGGTGGAGGAAAAAGGAAGGAAAGCAGAGAAGAGATAGCCACTCAGATTAAAGAGATATAAAAATGAATGAGGAGGCTGTGTACAGGAAACATTAGTTCTTTTGCTTCCAATTGAAACAGCTGCATGAATGCCTAAGCAGTAACATTTCAGACTAACTTTCCCTGAAGCATGGCTTTGTCAGATAGTGGAAGCCACCTGCTCCCCCACGGTGTGTGCCTTGGGTGGCCTACCAGTGAAATCACTTATACAAACATTAATCACTAATGATAGCTACCATTTATTGAATGCTTACACCATGCCAGGCACATTAACTCGTCTTCCCAGCTATTATCATTTGCATTGTACTAAGAATTGTGAAGGACTGAGACAGCTTGGTCAAGCTCACTCAGCAAGTGGTAGAGCTGATGAATGTCTGATAAAGTATACTGGGGGCCGGGCACAGTGGCTCACGCTTATGACTCCCGAACTTTGGGAGGCAGAGGTTGGCAGATCACTTGAGTGCAGGAGTTCAACACTAGCCTGGCCAACACGGAGAAACTCCATCTCTACAAAAACTATAAAAATTGGCCATAGGTGGTAGCATGAGGCTGTAGTCCCAGCTACTTGGGGAACTGAGGTGGGAGGATGGCTTAAGCCCAGGAGGTGAAGGTTGCAGGGAGCTTAGATCATGCCACTGCACTCCAATCTGGACAAAAGAGTGAGAACCTGTCTGAAAAAAAGAAAAAGACAGAAAAAGAAAGAAAAAGAAGGAAAGAGAAAGAAAAAAATTATACTGCATCAACTGTTGATCGACAAAAATGCTAGCAGAGGCTGGTGTCCAAGGAACAAGTCAAATAATTGGCCCAAAGGGGCAGCAACTCAAGTTTCATTAAACTCTGTGACCTGATCAGCTTTCAGCCTGTTAGCAAAACGCCTGCTCAGGCAACAGCCTAGCCTTTCATTAATTCAGTCATCTCAGACCTGTTCTGTTCTAAGCTGTGGCCAGCTTCAAAAAGCCCATCCATTAACAACTTCTTGGCAAAGTTACCACTCTATACTAAGCAGAATTCCAACTCTGGTGTACAGAATCCCTTGGAAGCTTTGCTAAAAATGCAAAGCTTCCTGAGGAGTTTTAGGATCCATTATCTGGAAATTTAATTCAGTGCAATAAGGTGGAGCCAGAAGACATAGTTTTAAACAATAGCCCCAAGTGAGTCTCAAGATAAACAAACTACTAGCTAAACACAATGTATTCAACCCCAGGACCTGAAGTGTCATTTTTGTTTCTTTTTCCTTTTCTTTTTTTTTTTTTTTTTTTTTGATTTGGGAGTTTTGCTCTTGTTGCTCTGGCTGGCGTGCAGTGGCACGATCTCGACTCACTGCAACCTCCACCTCTGGGATTCAAGCAATTCTCCTGCCTCAGCCTTCCACGTAGCTGGGATTATAGGCACCCACCACCATGCCCTGCTGTAATTAAGCAGCCACACCAGATTTCTCACGCCTGCTTCCGTGAGAAGCCATTTTAACAGTATCGCTTTAGGATTTAGTATTGAAAAAAACCCTAAATTATGTAACTCATGTGCCACGTATCGCATGCTAAATGGCTTGTTTTAGTGACAATAACAACACATGCTCAATAAAGAAAACGTCTAAAAACAGAAAACCACTAGGGTTGGGCATAGGGGCTCACTCCTGTAATCCCAGTGCTTTGGGAGGCTGGAGTCAGGGAGGGGGGTATCTCTTGAAGCCAGTTTGACACTAGCCTAGGCAACATAGTAAGACCTTGTCTCTACAAAAAATTAAAAAATTAGCCAGGTATGGACTACATGCCTGTAGTTCTAGCTACTTGGGAAGCTGATGTGGGAGGATTGCTGGAGCCCAAGAGTTTGAGGTTGTAGTGAGCTGTATTCCATCACACCACTACACTCCAGCCTGGGTGACAGAGCAAGATCCTGTCTCTCAAAAAAAAAAAAAGAAAAAAACCCCAAAGGAAATTATACTGTATTAGACATATACTATCTTGAATTGCCAGAGGAGTAAAGAAACTGATGTTTGGTTTGTTTTTATTTGTTATTTGCCTGAAGTCTATAAGTAAATGCTGACTTGGAGCCAGATATACTAAGTACAGGCCCCGGTGGAGTCTTCAGATAGACATTTTCTTTACAACAAATCTTTCATTGTCTGGAGGAATAACTACTTCTATAAAATATTTAAGAACTAACCTAAAATAGAGCAATCTAGTCAAACAGACACACTTAGATTTCCCTGTCAGCTCTGACATTTTCTTGTTCTGTGACCTTGGTAACGGTCTTGAAGTTCTGAGTCTATGTCCTCATCTTTAAAAATGGCAGTGATAGTAACAAATCTCTACAGTTTAGGGAAGATTAAGTAATACAGGTGCAGTGGCTATGCATAGTTAACACTTGACAGGAGTTGGCTATTAATATCAGCTTAGCCTTAGTTAACATGCAGAAGAGAAGGGAGGGATGAAATTTACATGGCCAGAATGTCACCCAAAAGACCAAAGGCACAGAAAAAGCTATAAACCAGTTGCTTTTTAAAGTAAACGTGTGTGTGCCAGCCATTATGTTCAATGATATAAGATATAAATATTAAGGCTTGATGTGTTCCAAATGAACGTGGCAAAGCCCATTTGGTGGTGTTTCTAAAAAGGTCCAAAGAAGTGGTAACATGGGCCAGTAGGATGGTATCAGAGTCAAGGTAAGACATCAGGAGTCCTGGACTGCTGGTCCTGGCTCGGATTGTCTATCTGTAAATGCAGGGAATTACATTAATGAAAGGCATGTTTCTAAACAAACTGACTACATACTAGTGAGTTACCCAAGATACTGTGTTGCATTATTATCTCGACCCTTTAACAGCAATTTTGGCAGGGACGTTCTTCTTGTGTTGAGAAACAGATTCAGAGAGGCAAAGTGGCTTGCATAAGGTTATGAAGCTGAAAATGGAAGAACCAGATTTCAAACCTGGTGTCTGACACTGGTTCCAACATCCATCCTGATACTGTGTTCTAATGTCTCCTCTATTTTGCATGCTGTGATTCTACTTGAATCGCTGCTTCTAAATAGCTGGAGTTTTAGGGGTGAGGCAGAGAAGGAGAGATGTGCAACAGACCCCACCTTGTCTTCTTCAGGCAAGGACAGACCATTAGGCTTACCAGACACAGCGAGTCCTCTTTGGAAAACCTCATACATAGTCTTGGCATCTGAGAAGTAGTAACGTATTAGGTCATTGTTCTCCTGGGAAGCACCCTTCCGCGCTCCTCCCTAAGACACAAGACAAAGTTTAGGCCAAGTACAAGTCTCCCTGCACTCTTTCCAAAACCTTTATGAGTTGAATTAAAGAGAGCATAAATGCTGATTTTGAGGTCACAGGAACGTTCTCTTTGCTATTCAGTTGATTTTTAGAAATCCCCAAATCATAGTATGTTCACATCGTAGACATTTTAGAAAATAGAAAAGTTGCAGGGTGTGGTGGCTCAAGCCTGTAATCCCAACACTTTGGGAGGACGAGGCAGGTGGATCACTTGAGGCCAGGAGTTCGAGACCAGCCTGACCAACAAGGTGAAACCCTGTCTCTACTAAAAATACAAAAATTAGCCGGGCATGGTAGCAAGCACCTGTAGTCCCAGCTACTTGGGAGGCTGAGACAGGGGAATTGTTCGAACCCAGGAGGTGGAGTTTGCAGTGAACCGAGATCAGATCACTCTACTCCAGCCTAAAAAAAAAAAAAAAAAAAGAGCATAATAAAGTCATAAAGTCGATCTGCAATCCCACCCAGAGATTGCCCCTGTTATGTTTTTGGTAACCCTCCTGGCATCCATTTGTGTCTGTATATGGAGGAGAGATGATATGGATAGTTTTATATCTTTTTTTGTCATATCAAGTTTAAACTTCTACTGATTGCATACTATGTGTTCTAGGTACTCTGTAAATACTGTAGATGTGAGTTAAGACAAAATAGCTGCCCTTCAGCACCTCACACACCAGGGTTGTTGGGGTATGAGGAGGTAATAAGGAAAAAATGCAAATATAATACCATGATGTACATGCTATAATGAATTTAGAGGAAATGGATTGGTGGTGGAGGAAATGAAGCAACCAGTTCTGTATTAAGCAGAAAGATTGCAGAGAAGAAATGATATTTCAATACAGACTTCAAAGACAGGTAGGGATTTGTCAAAAATATATGATTTGGGCAGGGTAAAGGAGAAAAAAGAAAATTCCAGAGTGGAGAACAGCCTGAGTAAAGGCATGGAGGTAAAAAAATGCAGCGCAGCGTTGGGTGAGCAGCTAGAAGACAGGGTATTCAAGGAAAGGTAATAGCTAGGAATCCATCTAGAAATGTCAGCTGGAACTATAGGATCAGGCTCTGGGCTGGATCCTGGAGCTACAGTAGGCGCTCCAGGTATGGTCCAATGGTCCAACCCTCATGAAAGTTCATCTAGAGAAGAACAGGAAACAATTAAATAAGCATTCAAGAATGTAAATTGCTTTCCAAAATGAGAGCTATAAAAGTACAGGGAAACACACGAGGCTGTAACAGGAGATCTGACTTAGTCTAGGACATCAGGGAAAATTTCCATGGGCTATCACATTAAGATAAAAAATAGCAAAAATAAAGTTACTTGTCTAGAAGACAGGGTCTTGTTGTCTGTTTATGTGTCTGGTACAAGGAAGCAGGAAGAATCCAAGATGTTCCAGATTCGTCACTTTGGCAATTGGGTAAGAAGAGATACATTTAACTGAAATAGAATAGGAAAGGAGGTGTGTATGTGTGTGTGTGTGTGTGTATGCGTGTGTGTGTGTGTGTGTGTGTGTGTGAAGGGAAAAAATATGCATAAAGAGAGAGACCTGGAGAGCTTAAGTTACTTAGCATCACTGAAGTCAGAATAGAAAATCGGATTTCAGTATCACAGATTTAGGCACATTTTCAAGTCATAAAAGTGGAGCTTTCTTCTTAGCTGTGAAGACTTAGATAAGGGTTTGGCAGACTGTAATCTAAAGGCTGAATCTGGCCTACCACCTGCCTTTATAAGTAAAGTTTTATCAGAACACAGTCACACTCATGTGTTTATATGTTGTCTGGTACTGTATTCATTCTATAACAGCAGCATTGAGTCGCTGCCAAAGAGCTCATGTGGTCTGCAAATTCCATACCATTGACTGCCTGGTCTTTAAAATACCATATGTTTGCCAACCTCTGCTTCAGCGGAATCAAGAGACGCTGAGAATAAAACCCTAGAATGAGGAGAGGAAAGAACCCAAGTGACAAAGGAAGAATGTCTTGAAATTAGGAAGAAATCTTATTGAAACATATTATGAAAGTCAAAAGGAGGAGTTTCAAGGAGGAAGTCTCAAGTCGATTGAGAGGAAAGCTGAAAGAGAAGTCATTGATTTTAGAAGTTAGGTTATGAGTGATTCAGAGCACTTTGGAGGAGATGGCGGCAGTACAAGCTCAGATCAATGGTAAAAGGTTGAATTTCAGAGAAGGAAATCAGTAAGCAAACTATTCTCAAAGAACTCTGGTGGGAAATGAAAGGAGTAAGTGGAGACAGTGGAATGAAGCAGGGCAGGAAGACGTCAGTGAAGACATACATGGAGCATGCAGATGTACTAACAGGTGGGAGAGGAGCTGAGAGTAGAGGTAGCTTGGAGTAAGATTTCTTCTATCCTGGAGAAAGAAGACTGTAAAAAGAACAGAAGAAGTTAGCCTTGTGAAGGAGCAGGAATCCTTTTTTTCTCAGAAGAGGGTAGAAGATGAAAATAGATGAAGACATTCATGGGAGCAGAAGGCGGGAGAAATGAAGAGAACATCTTTGGAGTTTTCAGTTTGCTCACAGATACAGGAAGCTGGGGAATTTGAAGAAAGCCAGGAGAGTGAGCCCAGTTCAATTTTTATAGTTTTAAGAAAAATAAATTTAAATAAAAGCTAGAATTTAACTAGAGGAAATGACTTAATCGTTCTCAGTCACTGGGTATCTTGATGAAAATGTTCTCCTGTCCCCAATGTACTGACACTATTATTTAGATCATGGGTTGTCAAAATATTTCGGTAAAGAGCTAGATAGCACACACTTCAGGCTTTGTTCCACAAGCCTAAACTGGAACAAAGCCTAAAGTGTGTGCTATCTGGTTTTTGGTTTTAACTCATCCCTTAAAAAAAGTAAAAACCATTCTTAACTTGCAGTTGCATAAAGAAAGAATTTGGGGCTGGGTGCAGTGGCTCATGTCTGTAATCCCAGCACTTTGGAAGGCTGAGGCAGGTGGATCATGAGGTCAGGAGTTCGAGATCAGCCTGATCCAACATGGTGAAACCCCATCTCTACCGAAATACAAAAATTAGCCAGGCATGGTGGCAGACTCTTGTAATCCCAGCTAATTAGAAGGCTGAGGGAGGAGAATCGCTTGAAACTGGAAGGCGGAGTTTGCAGTGAGCTGAGATTGCACCACTGCACTCCAGCCTAGGCAACAAGAGTGAAACTCTGTCTCAAAAAAAAAAAAAAAAGATGGATTTTGTTTGTGGCTATAGTTTGCCAACTCCAATCTAGATTACTGACATTATACAACCTTCCTTACTACAAAAGAAAAATGTGCCAACAATAGAAATTTAAATTTGTGTATTGCCTATTAATTTGTAACATGAAAGCTTTACTTTCCCATGCCACACCCAATCCCCTTCATGAGTTATCCCTAGGTTTAAAATTACAGTTTGAGTTTGATGAAGGTTTGCAAACTGAAAGGATGACTGATAAATTACCTTAATTCCCACAGACTGTTTGTTCAGGTCGAAAAGAGGTAAGACAGGTTGAGGTCTGCTGATCAGCCACAGGAAAATGGCAGCTCCAAATGTCAGGATGCAGACCAACGCCGTGGTCGGGAGTGGGGAAAACAAAAAATTAAAGATAAAAAGCATCTTTGTGAATAGCAGCAGGAAATTCAGACCTATTAAAAAAAAACAGGGGCAAGAAAATTTAGAGGAAATGGTTATATTTTTATACTCAATAGCTCTATATTTACAGAAGGACACACACACACACACACACACACACACACACACACACACGCCCTCAACCCCTCAAATAGAGTTGTACCTCTCTAGTAGCAGATTTTTTCCCACTGTTTACTTAGCACTGTTGAAAATAATAGAACACAGTCTCCACCCCCGCTACTTGACTGTCCTCACACAAAGCAGAAAGGATCAAAGGAAGCAAGTTAATCATTTCCCAGGCAATTTTGAGAAATGACTGCCCTTTTAACGTTGGTGCACAAAGCCTAAGAGAAGGCGGCCTGCTAGATACAACATAAGCTGGTGGTCAGAGAGTACCTCCTCTGCCTGGGCAGACCGAGGGTCAGGAAGGACTCTTCTAGCTGGATTTCCCCCATCTAAACCAAACAGAAGAGCTCTGTCGAGGTGAAGCCACAGGTTTTAGAAATTAAATATTTTGTATGAAGGATATTTCCTGCTGGCTAGATATGTCTTGCTCATTAGTTTACTCTTTGGAGCATTGCAAGGGTCTCGGACATCAACAGCAGTACAGCTTGCTGTGCGCAACATCCTCTCCCCCAGGGATCCCAGAGGAATCATTTTACTGTGAGGCAAACATTAGTCAGTTACAGAGAAACTGTGCTGGGGAATGGGTGGCAAGTGGTAAGCATGGAAGAGTTAGGTCAAGAAGAGATCTCAAGAAATTAAAAGCAACAAAGGCTTCCCCCAACCCAGCCTTTCTTATAGTTTTCAGCCAAGTTCAACTTCAAACTACTCTAATCGGAGAGACTAAATTTAAGGTGGGTCCTAGGAACATACCCTGGCTGAAATCATCTTTTCCTGGAAAGCTTCTGCCTCACAGCTTTCAAACTAAATTACGAGAATACAATAGCAGCAAACACATGAGCACTTACTGTATGCCAGGCACAGGGCTGTGCTTTTTGCATAGTTTGTTTAATTGAGGTCAAGCAATACTATAAAGTAGTATTTCACAGAAGAGGAAATGGATGCGTTGGGATAAAGTGACTCATCCAAATTCATCTGTCATGCCCTATTGCTGCTTCTCTATGAAAATCTACGAAACAACAATTCAACTTTTCTTATAGGTTCTAGTCACAGAATTCAAGGGGATTGAATTTGTCTAGCACCTTACAGGTGACAGCAAATGAAGTTCAGAATTTGCGTTCTTCAAAGTTTACTGCAATGCCTGATGAAACAATATCTCAGAGATGAGGCCACACATGCCCACTCCAAATGAAAAGATCAAATCAAGCCCAGTTAAAAGTTGGATCAGATCAAGATCACAGTTGCCCTTAGAGCTTTGGACAGCTGCCATTAGCTGCCACCTGCAACCTTCTTCAACGAGGGAAACACACTTCACTCTAGTGCCAGAAAGGCCACAAGGTGCAGAAATTTTGTGTGGGGGCAGGAACAGTCACCAGAAATCCTGGGCCACTCTTTTTACCTTTCTGCCCCTCGATTAGTTATTACCTGACTTTGGTAGTCCCTTTCCATTTTAGGAGAGAAAACGAAACTTCCAGAAACTGGGATCATAGTTCCCAACTTTTTGGTTCTTTCCATATTGCATTCAGGGGGAGAAAAAGAAGTCAGAACCAAAATAAAATCAAGGTCCCATGGGTGCTAGGTTACATAATAACAAACGTGCTATTGTGACCACCTGGCAGGATTCTGAGAGCTGGGATTTTTGGAATTCAGCCTTACCTGGACTTGTATGAAGAGGTGGCACTCCAGGATGCAGAAGATTCAAAAACTAGCCATAAAGCCCAGGTAGAGGAGGAGGAGCTGCCTCAGGGAAGATTGTGAAACTGAAAAGGCAGGTGGCAGTGCCAAAGGGGAGGAGAAGCCTGTGCCTGTTTCGTGCCCATCCAGTGCCCATCCAACCCACCACCAACCACTCCCTGGAGGCTGGGACATTGTGACAAGACTGGTCATATATGTATATATATATATATATATATATATATGTATACACACATACACACACATACATGGTCTGGAACTCCTGACCTCATGATCCACCTGCCTTGGCCTCCCAAAGTGCTGGGATTACAGACATGAGAGACATGAGCCACTGTACCCAGCCCCAAATTAATCTTTTTTTATTCAACTATAAAATTAATACATATATATGTTAATTTTTTAACAATTTTATATATATATATTATATATTTAATTATTATTATTATTTTTTTGAGACAGGGGCTTACTGTTTCCCAGACTGGAGTGCAGTGGGACAAGTCTGGCTCACTGCAGCCTCAACCTCCTGGGCTCAAGTGATCCTTTCACCTCAGCTTCCTGAGTAACTGGGACCACAGGTGCGTGCCACCATGCGTAGTTAATTCTTTAATTTTTTGTGAAGACACAGCCTCACCATGATGCCCAGGCTAGTTTCAAACTCCTGGGCTCAAGTGGTCCTCCCACTGTGGCCTCCCAAAGTGCTGGGATTACAGGCATGAGCTACCATGACCACCCCAGACTGGTGATATTTTATCTGGGCTTTTTACCTCTGCCTCAGTCCCACCCATAAATTAAGAGATCCTTACCTACACCCTCCTATTCAACTATGGGAAAAAAATGGCTGCACTAAGGATTTTTGCCCTCTTCTTCCAGATGGCACATTTATATTTAATAGGAAACTTTGCAAACAATGTCTTCCACTTAGGGTCCAAAAATGGAATTTCTCTTCAGTTGTAGTGATATGGCAGGAAGGACAGTGAATAACCTGACTGGTAACACATGAGAGAAAAAGGACAGATAATCTGTGACAGTCTCAAGGGAGCACCTGCTGCTGATCTCAGGTGATTGTTACCACATAGTAACAATACTGTGGGCCACAGATTGTCAGAATTCTGCCCCCTCCTTAGATAACCCAGAAGACTGCATTTTTGTGAAACTTCAACTTTAACACCAGTTTTTAAGGGTTTGGCATGGGATAAACAAGAACACATCTCCTAGTTGAATGTGGATCACGGTCTGTTAATGTTTGAGTACTCCTTTGAGACAGACTTCAGTCAGATTACCCACAAATGAAATGAGACTGACCACTTCATTACGAAGAAGGGGTTTGCAATATTTTCTTCCATTCTGTAGGTTGTCTTTTTACTATCTTGACAGGCATTTTATTTTATTTTTTTTTACAATTAACAATTTTTTTATAGAGATGGGGTCTCACTATGTCACCACCCTTTTGTCACGTGTCCTGTGCGTCTCAAACTACAGTTCTGGTTGAGTCACTCTACGGAACCCCCTGCAAGCAGTGGGTGTGATTAACATTTCCTTTTCCTTTTAACATCACTCCCGGTTGGGGTAGGGAGAAGTACAATAGTAGTAAAGAAAAGAGGAAAGAGAGCTGCCACGCTGCGTCTGGGATTTCCTGTTTCGAGTAATATACAAATGACGGAGCAAGCCACATTACACATCAGGATGGCCCATGTCAAAAACCTTACTTTTGATGCGGTGATGGTGACATGCCTTGGCCTCAGACCCCAGGATGCCCATTTCTTCAGCATCCTTGTCCTTGATCCACACCACGGCCCTCCCCTCCCCTCCCCTGTGGATGAATGACTGTAGCCGCAGTCACTCATCTCCTGGCTTCTAACATGTTTTATTCCCAACATATCTGAAGGATGCCTTCTGCCTTCACGTCTCTGTACATGGTTCTTGGACAAGTCTTGGTGTCCAAGTTATGATCGCCCCATGTTCAGCTTTGGATTGTTTCCCTTTGTGGATTTGGGGTGGCATGTCTTCATTTAGTCTCATTTTCTTTGGATAAATGTCCTAAATGGCTCCTTCTACTCTAATATTTAAATTTTTAATCAACTATGTGCCATCTGGAAGAAGTGGGCAAAATCCTTAGTGCAACCATTTTTTTTCCCATAGTCAAACAGGAGAGTGCCAGTACGGATCTCTTAATTTGTGGGTGGGATTGCTATGAATCTTTCATACTATCCCTATGGGCTAAAAGTCATTTTCTTTCAATAGTCTCTATCTTTTAAAAGATTGTATTTTTCCTGTGTACATCTTATTCAAACCTTACCCGAAGTCTGTTTCCACCTCAAAGCCTCTGTATTTGCTCTTCTCTTTGCCTGGAGCATTTCTCCAGATCTGGAATGGTTGTATATCGTGCTCAGGTCAAGCCTCACCTCAAATGTCACTTCCTCGGAGGCTCAGTTTCTAATCACTTTATTTAATAATGTCTTTTCCTTTCCAATCAGTGTCATGGACTTTGTGTTCTCTTCTTCATGTTCACTGTTCATTGCAAAATAATCCCAGCTCCTTATTATTCATTGTCCCAACTGAGCTGATGCTGTCTTTGGAACAGGGATTTAAATTTTGTTTACTACTGTGCCTCTCATGCCTGTACCATGCCTGGCACATAATTAACTTTCAACAAGTGGTTGTGAGCAAACGAACCATTTTCGAGGTCATAATTGTTTATTCCATGTACTCTCAGTTAACTCGTTTTCCCTGCAGTATAAAGTACTAACACCCCACCTCAAACTCCCAAATCTTAGATCGTAAGAAGTCATTCAGGCCAATCTGGAGAGGATTGTTCCCTAATCAATACTTTTTTAAGGTATTGGATAGGGATGGTGGTGACACAGGTGTATTTCTGACACACATTAAGGACCATTCAAGATCCCTTTACTCCTCCAGGCTTAGAAGAGTTGGAATGAAATTATCTACATTGGTTAAGTATGCAGAAAGTACAGCTAAGAAATAAACCATACTAGGCTAGGAGTGCCTGTAATCCTAGCACTTTGGGGGGCAGAGGTTGGGAGATCACTTGAACTCAAGAGTCTCAACTACTTGGGGGACTGAGGTTGGAGATGGCTTGAGCCCAGGAGATGAAGGTTGCAGTGAGCTTAGATTGTGCCACTGCACTCCAGCCTGGACAACAAAGCCAGACCCTGTCAAAAAAGAAAGAAGGAAGGAA